GCCCAGGCGCTGCCCACGGAGCCCAGGCGCGCTGTGGACCTGCTCCTGGTGTGGTGCTGATGGAAGACACTGGCCTGATTGCTCGCCTGCCCCGCTCAGGGCGGGAGGGACGTCTGGGAAAGGGCTGTGAAAATGCCAGGAGATGCTCTGCTGGTCCTGGAGGAGAAACTGGGCCACAGCGCTCACCCAGCCTGGCTCCTACCCCCTCCGCCTCGTGTCTGGGGAAGGGGGGCTGGTGTCCAGGGGGGAACCTGGGCCCCCGGGAGCTTCGGCGGCGAGGCCTGACAGCTGGGAGCCGGGTCAGGGGTCTGTGACCAGCGCCCGGGGCTCTAACATCTGTCCAAGGCGGTGCCAGCTGGCAAGGAAATGAGACTCTGGTGGGGAGAGGGACATCTGAGAGCGGGGAAGAGCGGAGCTGCCCTCCACCCAGAGGCCGCCTTACAGCTCACGGTTATGTTATTTTTATTTTCTACGTTTTCATTGATTTCAGAGAGAAAGGGAGAGATAGAAACATCACTGAAAAGAGAGAACCATCGATCGGCTGCGTCCAGCACGCCCCACACTAGAGATTGAGCCTGACACTGGGCCTGTGCCCTGACTGGGAATCAAGCCGTGACCTCCTGGTTCGTAGGGAGTTGTTCAACCACTGAGCCACCCCGGCCGGCAGGTCAAGACCAGTTTATTTGTTACACATTTACCTGGTGGTGGATGAGGCTCTGGCTGACCTGCCATCCCAACAGGCGGTGTGGGCCCCTCCCGATGACTTCCAGTTTCAGGAACTGACGTGCCCGCGATTAATCAACTGGCCCCACGACTCTCAGGCATTCTTGGCAGCGGATTTCAGTTCTAATTTGATTTGAACTTGTGCGCGGATCCAACAGCCATATGTGATTATATTCAAAATCATGGACATGATCTCCTTACACCAAAGGACTGAAAAGAACTGAAAAGCCAGCCGGAAGCCGAGACCCCGAAGATGGGGAGGGAAGCAGGCTGGTGTGTGACCTGAAGCGAAGGGAGGGGCAGCTTCAAGCTCAAGCGGGGGCCTGGGAGGGCGGCGGCTCGCTGGGACCCACAGGTGTCGCATGTCTGCAGGGTCCTGGCCTGGGCCCCGGGGACTCCCAGCAGCGGATGGAGGCGCTTCCGTGAGGTTAGCTACCTGCGAGGCAGATGGTGCTCAGATCCAACGGCAAATACACCGAATAAAAGCAATTAACACGCCGCCTCCTGAACCAGGAGTTTCTGGAAAGAGTTCCCGATAGATGAAAACAAACAATTTGATTTCAACCAAATTGTCGTTTCTTTGTTTTCACCCGGATTTTCACCCGCATTGTCAGTCTCAAAAATAAACACTGATACATTCCCAGAAAATATTTTTCAAATAAAAACTGACTCTGTTAAAGTTTGCCCTGATTCTTTCAAAACTGTGTACGAGACACTGTCAACCGAAGTGACTTCCATGTTTTTTTAAAAACACACGCGAACATATGCAGCTCAAATGTCACCAGCTCCCGCCGCCTGCGTGTTTGCAAAGATGACACGAGACCCTCGCACCGCGCTCCTCACACCAGGGCCCGGGACCCACAGAGACTCCCCGGCGACTCGCAGAGCCGGGTGCACTTCTCCTTGTTGAGTTGGAACCGAAGGCCCTGGTGTCATTGTTCTGGGAGAGCACGTAGGCTCCCTCCGCGCTAGCCTTGCTCCGTTGTCAGCATCCACTCTGCCCAGAGCGACCAGCCTCCGGATGAGGCTGGTGGGAGGAAATAAGGCGAATCCTGTATCGCTTCGGGTGCGTTTGCTCCACTACTGCTTCCCGAGCGAGACATTGCATTTCGCCACATAAATTCACAATCGAGATCCTAAAGGGAGCTAAATGTTTTAATCCAATTAGACAAGTGAACAAAACACTGAATATTGCATGCAGTGCAGCTAGATCAGTGGTTCCCGCCTTTAAAAGACGGCGGCTCCGTCACATTACAGCCCCAAATGTCAGTGTTGTCTCCCTCTCCATCGCCTTCCCGCTCAGGCAGCCAGAGGCG